GGCGACGAGGAGAGGAGCGCGTGCCACCTGCCTGCCTGCGCCTCCCAGTGGCTCTGACTCGGCGCGGGGTTGCATCACCCGCCTTATATAGGCGCTGGCGAGCGCTGGTATGCGCCTGGCCGCCCGGCCCCGGCTGATGTCATGCTATTAATAGCCGGCCCCGGGAGGGAAAGGAGGGAGGGGGCTGGCGCGGGCCGGTGATGCAAGGCGCTCGCGGCTCTCAGGCCCGGAGGAGGAGCCGGCTCACCCTCACACACGGACACACGCTCCTCGTACACACACGCTCCTTGCATATACACACACCCTCACATAGACACATGTTCACACACTCCTCACGTACACACACGCTCACACACCCTTCATATATACACACACTCCTCACATATACATACGCTTACGCACTCCTCATATACACACCCCTCACATATACGCACGCGCTCACAACACACATACCTCCCTCAGGCACGAATACCCCTCACATACACACACCCTCACATGCACACACGCCCCACACACAGTCCTCATGTACACGCGCACACACAAACACCCCCCCATATCTATACGCACTCCCTGACATCCCCCCGCACACCTCTCTCTCTCACAAATACACACGCCCCCTCACATACCCACACACGCATACACACGCACCCCTCCCTCACACTCGTCTACAAACACACAGCTGTCATATACACACACCCCTCCCTCACACACACATATACATACCTCCACTCACATCCCCTTTCACATACCTACACACGCATACACACCCCCCCTCACACGTGTACAAACAAACACACACGCGCCCCGCAACCCCCCTCAACCACACACACACACACACACACATATACATACATACACCCCCCTCCCAGCTCCATAACAGGACTGGGCCCGGCCGGGCGCGCCGCCAGATGTTGGCTCCAGGCCCTGCAGCTGCGTGACATCCCCATGAGCCAATGGTGCCCAAGCCAGCGGCATGACTCCAGATCGCTGGTATCCCGCTGCAGCGGGGCTGGGCTGCGCCGGGCCGGGCCGGGCGGGGGAGGAAGGGGGAGAGACCTGGGTTGCGGGGAAGAAGAACGGGTCCCTTGGCCCTTCTCTACCGCGCCTTGGAAAACCTCCTCCAGTTAAATCAGTGTGTGTGCGCGAGTGCCACAGGGAACAGCACCCATGTGCCCGGCATCTGTGCCTAGCCTTCTTTTGGGTAGAAGGTGCCCTTGTATTGTATGGGGGTATGTGTGTGTGTAGGGGGGTAAGACTACGTGTCTGTGGGGTCTGCCCCTCCGAAAGGGTCTCGCACGACACCCCCTGCCACCGGCCCGTGTTGCCCCCGTGCGAGGCAGGGAGGGGTGGCCCGGCCCGGGCCCCGGGGGGGCAGGCGGGAGAGGGGCTTTGCTGCCAGAGGACCGAGCTCCCCAGCACAGGCAGGGCGCAGGTGTGAGGTGAGAAAACAGAATAAAAGGCAGGATGGCCCCTGCCTTCCCCCAGCCGGCGCCAGGCGCTTTCCCGGAGAGGAGTTAGTTCTGCGCGATCTGGTGGTTCCTGACTATTTACTTTTACCCATCCTGGCGTGAGGAGCGGCTGGAGTTGTTTTACAGCTTTTTAAAAAAACGCTAAGCCCGCTTCACCACAACTTGCCAAGGAGGAGGTAGTTTTCGAAAGAACTGAACACACGAGCCTATTGAACTGAAATGTAACCCCCCCACCAATCACCCCACTTCAAATGCCAGTTACAAGATCAGCTTACAAACGGCGTGGGATGCCTCTTATTTCTACCTATAAAGATGAAAGCCCCATTTGATGACACACCAGGAAGCCACAAAAAAAAAATCCTCTAAACAGGAGCTAACAATATCTTTCAGATTGCAGGGGGGAAGCAAGACCCTTCAAGAGGGCACAGAGTGAAGGCAGAGGGTGGCAAGATTTGAGCAGGGGGCTGAACTAGATGAGATCCCTTTCAACCCTCATTTTCTAGGATCCCAAGGTTTCCTTTTTTTTCTTTTTCTTTCCTGCCATCTTAATTTCTTAGACAACAGGAATATATTCTGGCAGCCACAACACAGGGCTGGCAAGTCAAAATATTTAAATGAGACACATTATATATCCAAACTTTTTGCATGCATTATGTATGCAGTAATGACATTAGTGCAATCTTCAGGTTGCAAGATCAAGCCCTCAGGTGGGGACATTTCAGAACCTGAGGACTAGCTGTATCTGCCTATAACCATATACATTAATAATTACTGGGAGCACATTAACACTACAGTCAAGTGTACTACTTCAAAGGGGTGCCTTAACAAGACAGCCTGCTTGTGTATCATGGCCAAGTTAACATCGACAGCCGTTTTAGTTCTAGAAATCTCATGTTTGACTTCACATGTTAGTAACACCAGTATCTTCCATTTGCTCTCCTACTCATTTTTAAAGGACAAATGGGCAGGGACAGGGAAAGAACATCTGGAATAAGGTGTATAGAGTTTTGCTAATATGGTAGATACAGTTTGTTCCTTGCTCCAGGCTTAGGAGGTTTGTGATAGCAATTTCCTTACACCACAGCTATACCATGACAGTTCTAAACTCTTGCTAGCTGCATCCTTGCCTAGCTGTACACTCATGTTCTGGGCACCTGCCTATAACTGTATCTTTGGACAATGGAAATAATCTTAAACATCACGCAATATGCTAATGACTTAATCTTTGTGAAACAAAATCAAAGATAACCACAGGCAAAAAATATTGCTCTTCAGATGAGACTCAGATCAGCTCTAAACATCATCTTGGTTTCCTAGTGCAGCTCTATAAAGTTTTAATACAAACAAGGGTCAATTCTTCACTCACACTACATTCAAAAAGGGATTTTGCTCAAGCTTACAAAAAACACTTTCAGAAAAGGCCCAAATTGGAAATTTTTATCCCGAAGATAACAGCTGAGCACATTAAAACAGGCAGTTACAATGGAAACTGTTTAGCAACTTGAATGTTAATGGTCACAGACAGGCAATTTCTGTAATACAGAAAAAGAACTTCCATGTCTATCCACCACTAAGTAAGAAGTTGTATTGTAAATGCAACAAATACACATTTATTTGGAGCATTTTTAATTGAATTGACTCATTTAACATAAATAGGGCAAGAAGAGGTGAAAATATCATTCAGTTTTTCGGATTGATCAAAAATATCTGACAAAGATAAATACAGTTAACCTGTTTCTAACTGAAATTTATTCCATGAACCTAATATTCCAAAACTATAATACTGAGTAGACAGATGATAATTTTGTTCTGAAAAATCAAGGTCTTATGCAAAAGGAAATCTGGTGAAATATCCTTCATGTATTTATCTCTTCATTCCTTTGACTATTGTTAGTGATGGTGAAGCATGTTTAATGTAAAAAAATTGCGTAACAGCAGGTGTATTTTTTATTGAACTACTACTGAAATAAGAGGTAGCAACTGTGCATAATGAAGATTAGGCTACTGAAACATGTCATGGCATGACATTCCTCAATAAAGAAAATGAAACTATAATAAAAATGAAACTCTGGCGTATTATGTTTAGTCCAATTCTTTATTACTAAATGAGGCTCCTCTCTGCTTTACGTATTAGAACAATTACAGTCATCAGAAAAGATGTAGGGTTAGGTCCAAATTTAACAAAATAATATGGCTAGCAAGAATGTCAGGAAGTTACTGCAAACAGTTAAGTGCACAAGGTGCTGAAATAAGCTTCGCAGTGTTACTTTCAAACTCATTAAATTTCCAGTTTTCTCCACCAAAATATTCCTTGATTTTTTTAGAGGTACTTTCTCTGGTATTATCAGAAAGAAAAGGAATCAATTACACTGAAACTGAAACAGTAAGTTTCTTTAGGATTAAGTCAGGTTTAATTTGTACTACTTTGTCATAAACTAGATAACGTCTATCATTACCAGAACACCTTCTAGTTCTTTGTGGAAAGAGGAAGCTCACTAAATAACTCCCCTCATTCCTTTCTCTGTGGATTCTCAGAAAATCCCCAAGCAGAGGAAAAGAAATTATTTCTTTTACCTTCTCTTGGCCAAGATCAGCCTCCTGATCCCTGTTCAGCCCTTCGTTTGCAGTGGAAATATATGGAGGAGAGCAAAAATATTACAATATTAGTAAGATTACAAAAGAAGAAGCCTGCAGATGCCCCAGCATGGGAAGTTTTTATGAGCAGGTGACAAATATTTGGATGCAATGGTTCAGATGATGATGGTCCTGCCTTGAGGGGGGCATGAGGAAGGTTGGACTAGATGACCTTCCAAGGTCCCTCCCAGCCCTATTGTTCTACTAAAGCCCACAGGAAAGCACTCCCTCTGCTCCCCCTCTTTTACTACACTTAAAGATCTTTATGATACCTGATTCTGATCTCACATTGGCTGTACAATAGTGAACGGTCATCAAACTTAGTGGAGTTACTTGTGGTTTGTTCTGGTAAAAATTAGCTCACATGAAACAAATCAATATGATTCAATAACCTATTGGTCCTGGTCAGTGATTTCTTGGGTGAAATCTCATTTTTCATGGCATTTGTGTTTTATTGAGGTTAAGTTTTGATATTGCTGTAAACATAACGGGCCTAAATCTCCCCTCAGTTACACAGGCAAATGAGGTATAACCCTGTTACAGTGATAGTATACCAATACAGAGCCAGATTCCTTAATAGCAGAAGTATTCTGGAGTTCCATGCTGAGCATTTACTTTGCTATGCTTTTTCTTGTGCAGATTTGTGTTGCAGGATTCCTTTATTTATACTTATATTAGGGACAAATTTGGGACCAATTTGTCACCGTAGCTACTTATCCATACATCGTCATTTAAATTTGGGACCATCATCTCTATAAAGCATAGATGTCAACTTAATGAGTCAAAGGAGTAGCTGTTACTAACAGTAGTTTACTAGTTATCCCCTGAATTGGTACTAAAGAGCCATGCAACACAAGCAGTGTGTAACATACAATCATAGGAGTCATTTATGTGACTCAGTGGGAATTTAGTCCTTACTAGGTAAGGGCATTATCACAACTTGTTTTATTATCAGTAAAATATTTTTAGACTAGATTCATTTACACCAGGCATCTCTTCTTACTCTTTCTCCACATCTTCTCTTGCCTTTTTTCTTCTGTTTGTTTATTTGTACACCAGCACAATACCTATCTCTGTTCTTTCCAAATAACCTACCTTATTTTATCTCCTTATATGGTCTTTTCTTTCTGAGTCTCTGTTTTGCTTTGCACTTGAGCAATAGCATTCCTCCTATTTCCTGAATAAAGCAACTTCTCCTTTATCCTTATCCCCTTAATTCTTCCCCATTTACTCCCTTTCACTTCTCTCTTTTCTCCTAGTCGCATCCCTAAGCTCTGTCTTCCTTCTTTCCGTCCTTCCTTTATTTCCTATTATTTTCTCCCATGGGTTTGTCTATTCCTGCCCCTTGATTTTCTTGAGCTTGCACAAGACATTCTTATTTTGTCTCTTAGTTTCCTATCTGTGGGCACATCTACATGTGTAATTAATGCACAGCAATAAACACTGGTACATATCATGTAGGAGTCTATTGCTTTTGGGTGCCATGTTTGAACATGTACCTGGAACCACAGCAAGCTGAGCTGGGTCAGAGAAGTCCCAGCTGGCAGAGGACCCTGGGGGGTCAGCCTGCCAGCCTGGAGCTGCTCCAACCTGGCTCAACATACTGTGGAGGGTCTGGCTGGGGTACGAGGGAGTTTCAGTGCAGGGCTAGCCGGCAGGCAGTCCCCACACTGAAGCACCCTTGTGCCCAAGCCAGCCCTGTCAGCATCTACATATGCTAGCACTGGGGCTTGGGTCAGGCTGCTAATCAATGACTGAAAAGTATGCTCACACGTCTGGTTCCACTGTGGGCCAAAAGGTTCCATAGGACCCTGGAGTGGGGCATGATCGCCACTGCCTCCCTGAGTTTGGGGACTCACTTTCTTACCTCTCTTAGCTCGAGGATGCTGATATCCTCGTGTGAGGTCATTCAATGGCTTCACAGTCTGAGCATAATCTTTGACAAATCAATGATAATAACTGGTGAACCACAAAAATCGTTTGAGTTCCCAAAAATTCTGTGGATGTGGCCAAGTTGCTATGGCCCAGATTTTATCAGGATTGGTGCTGATTTCCTCCTGTGAGACAATATGCCCCACATACCTCACAGAGGTCTGACAAAAATGGTGTTTGCCCAAAACCACCTTGAGCCCAGCTGCTTCTAGTTGATCTAGCACTCACATTAGCTATTCTTCATGTTCTTCGAGAGTCTTCCTGAACACTATCAGGTCACTGAGATACACCAGTATCTGGGACATATTCATGTCTCCAACTACATGCTCCATGAGCCACTGAAATGTTGCTGGGGCCCCCGAGATACCTTGGGGTATCCTCTCGAACTGAAAGAACCCAAACAGGCAAATAAAGGCATTATTTTCCTTATCCTGGAGAGCCAAGGAGATAGTAGTATCTGCTATACAGATCAAGTACTGAAAACCACTGACTCCCCAACAGACAATCCAGTGTGTCTTGCACTCGGGGCACCATGTATTGTTCTACCACTGTGCAACTTTTTAGGATCTGATAATCTACACACATTCTAATCTTTCACAGTTTCTTCCTCACCGCTACTATAGGGGACACGTATGGACTCTGGGACTCAAAAATGATCCCGTGATCCAAAAGTTCTCTCAGATGTTGTCAAACTTTGTCCATCTCCAACAGTGCTATACGTCTAGATCTTTCCCAAAAGGGTCTTGTGTCACTGAGTCAGATGGTATGTTTCACTCCTTTTGTAAAACCCTCTTCACTCTTACATCCCACTTGTGTAAGGAAAAGACCTTCTGTTGCAGACTAAGCTCTCTGCCATGATGGGGGTAGGGGAGAGTCCCCAGAATTGAAATGCTCAGGACCCAATTTGGGCGTGGGTTTCCAATTTCCATGGGTTGTTCTTCAATCTGTCGGTAGGCCACTGCACACACTGCATGCATATGAAGCATGTTTAAATAGTGTTTGGCAGCTTGCTGCCAGCAAAACTGGGCCAATATGTGAAATACACTTGAGTTAGTATCTACTATCACATTGGCCCCCTTCATCTAGCTGGGGTCAGGACACACCAGGGCTGCTACAAGGACACTCTCCTTTACCTCCACTAGGTCTTCTGGAAATTTTAATCGTATGATAATTTATCCACAATAGGGGTAAGTCTCTTGGCTGAGGCCACATAATCCCAGTCTGGACAGAGGGTGGAGGTATAAATGCCTTAGGAACGTGTCATAAAATGATTGAAACACAATAGTTACCTGCGACCCACTGTCCAGGACAGCAGTACAGGAGGTTTCCTCTAAAGATACTGGGACCTCAGTTAATTGAGTTAATTAACTGAGTTACCTAATTAGCTCTGCAGAAAACATCTCAGGGTCTACACATGCAGTGCTATTAGAATGGAGTACACTAATTAACTCCCCTGTAAGTTAGTACTTGTAAAAGCAAGTACTGCCCTAAGTGGAGTTAATTAGTTTACTCCATCCTAATAGCGCTGCGTGTGTGTACACTGAGATGCTTACTGCAGAGCTAATTAGGCAACTGCAGTAAAAGTCTTGTATAGACACATCCTGTGAGATGCAGAGGGTAGTATCTTACTTACCTACCTCATAGGTATTCAATGGGACTTAAATAGTGTAGGGCCAGACTTAGTGGCACAACATTCCTATTGATTTCAGGGGAGTTTTTATTCAATGAAAGACATCAGAATTTGGGGCACCAGTATTATTATATGCATCACTGCTGCTGGAAGATTTGGCAAAAAAAACTACAACAAAAGTACCAAAGTAAATGTCCATGCTGCTTGGTATAGGAAATGCAGTTGAATTGTTTGTATTTACTGTTTCCTTTTCCTGACTCCTTTCAGAAGTTTATACCACATAAACTCTGAACACTTGTACAGCAGCTGGCTTAACCTAATAGATTAATACTGTCAGTTTGGAACTGCTATGATCTATTGAGTCAACAAAACAGTAAAGCTGTTTCCTGGAGGGCTCTTGAGGAGCTGTTAGCATCCAGATTATGAAAGATCCATTTCTCAGAAGTGACCATATAAACCAGAGCCATTGGATACACTGAACTGGTTATAGTAGTGCTTGTCCAAGAAAGTGTAGACTTTGTACCCTACATATCCCTACTGTGAGTAGAGCAGCCCTAAAGCATTGTCCCTCCCAAGTGAAATAAAGCTACAGCCACCTTATCACATCAGTTTCACAACAGCAGTTAATTTCCATCAGTGCAGCCCTGCAACAGCTTTTTGTTGTCAGAAGCAATCATAAATTCAGACTATCCAGGAATTATGTGTGTATAAAAATAAAGGCATTACCTACCCAAATGCTTGATTCAGTTGTTGCTGAAGTTAGTAAAACATTTCCTCTTGACCTCAATGTACAATTGACTTAGTCCTTAGAAACTAGGAAAAATCGACTGCTTAGTAGAGATGGTTCTTACCTGAATTACATATATAGGGGTTTTCAGGGCATCTTACTATGGGAATTGATTGCTGGAGGTACACATTTCACTGCACTGATCTAATATTATGGTTCCAAAGCATTTGAAATCAACCAGGTAAAATACAGAGAGAGAGTGAATATGCATTTTTAGCTGGAACTTTACAATGTTTATGTGTACAAAAAACAGAGCAACTAACACACGTTTTAAAAAGCAGGTCAGACAAACACTTGGATGCAATGGTTCAGATGAGGACAATCCTGCCTTAAGCAGGGGACTGGACTAGATGATCTTCCAAGGTCCCCTTCCAGCCCTATTTTTCTATTAAATCCTACAGCAAAAGCCCTCCTTCTGCTGTCCCTCTTCTACTAAACTTACAGACCTCTATAGGTATATCTACACATTGCTGTAGTGTGCCAATCCGGCAACATAGAAATCACACGTGTCTACACGTGATTGCCAACTATGTCATCATAGCAGCACACTCCCTAGGTATAGAGTGACGCTATGGCGACATAGCAGTGACATTTAACCATGCACACGGTGTAGTAACTGTCTGTACCGCGTTGTGCTTTAGTACTTCCAAAAGGAACTACTTAAGCATGGTGCTGTAGCAATATTGCCATGTGACAACATGTAGATGTGCTCTATGATACTTGTTATGCTCCATTCACATGAATTTCATCTTTAGATGCAGGGTCTGGGTTATAATGGATATTGATTGTATCTGTTACATTCGTTCCTACCTATTTGGTAAATGTGAACTTTATAGCTTGCCTTGATAATAGAGATTTACATTGTTAAGCACTAAAACAGGATAATTTCTAGACAAATTCTAACCTTCAATAACAATGATCTCCCATCCAGAATTACAACCTGCAGGAAAGGAAATTCAAAATCAAAACTAAAATTTAATCTTTCATCCAAGTTACCTTTTCCCTACTATAGGTGTGAGTTATGGTTAGAAGGAAGAAGTGAGTAATCTTCATTTTCAGTTTCTTGTCCTTGCTGACCTAAATTGTGGCTTTAATTGTACAGTAAATTTTCTAGATAGTAAAGGACAAAGCATAAGGAAAATGAAAGTAACATGAGTGCATGCAGATTTTAAATGAAAAAGTATACTTGGAAAAGCAAAAGCATTCTAATACCCTCAGCACAGCCAGGGCAAACCCTGACCTCTCTTATGGGCATGGAGGATTCTGGATACAGTCAGACAAGGGCAGTTCTATCAAATGGTAGGGAGTAAACAGGTTTTTACAGAACCCATGCTGGGGAGACAGACTCTTAGCACACCATGCCCTACTCTCTGGACTTTCTATGTACAGTATCATAAGAATGACTGCTGGGAATAAGGCAGAGTCTAACTAGGGAAGAGAGGTGACAGGCCTCATGAAGGGACCAGTTAAACTGTGAGAACTACTGTAGCTATGAAGTAGCTCTGATGTCTTCTGCGGATAGCACCCACCACACAGCCAGTTAACTGGCAGGCTAAGAATTTGACCCTTACACATTTTATAATGACTATTAGTGAAGTATCAGAGAACAAAGCACTGTGCTGGGAGTCAGAAAATCATGGGCCATTTTTGTCCCTGTCAAAGCTACATGTGTGATCCCAAACCAGCCATGTACGTCTCTTTGCAAAGCACCTTGGTATCCACAAAGGAGGACTGGACTTGATGGCACAGGAGACCTCTCCCAGTCCTGTGTTCCTGTGTTGAGTGAGAAAAGAACTGCAACGGGGTGTACATGGTAGCTGTGTTGGTCTGAGACAAGAAGACATACAAAAAACTAGAACTCTTGGTTCCAAAATGCTACCTTTTATTAAACCAACTGGGAAATCTCAAGCAAACTGCATGGAAGTCTAGTACTTTATTGTTATGTATCAGATTCAGGACAGAATTTAAGTATCTGCTGTCTGCTTAATTTAAGCACATGAGTAGTCCCAGTCCACTTAAGTGCTTTGCTGAATAGGGGTCTTGCTTTATACCAAAGGGATGAAAAATTCCTTTACAAATATTTGAGTTTATTTCTATGATTAAGGTCAGATATTTTCTCTTGAGCATTTAGGAAGGAAGTGACTGATGGGTTGGGCTATATTTATTTTGTGTCAGGATCATAATTTTGGAAGTAGCTAACATATATCTATATGTGTGTGTGGTGATCAATTAGTTTGTTACAGCTTTTCTTTTACAGATTATAATATTATTTAAAAAACTGTGATATGTTTAAAATTTGAGATGCTGATACATTCAAATAAATAAATTCAGTCAAAATCTAAAAGTTGTTTCCTTTAAGACAAAGACTAAAAGTGCATAATTTTCCACCTACGTAATACTAAGTTGTTTATTACACTAGAAATGTGCTCAGTTAGCCAAAAATTAAATGAATTTGTATTCAGTGTAAGTAAACATCCAGTAAGTTAAATTGTCTTCAGGGCATTATTTGTAAGGCTACTTTGTCTCACCGCATATAGTGTGCTCCAAGGTTTTGCAGACCCTTCAACCTACCATTATAGAAAAAGGTTGTTTAAAATTGTGCATGAATGCAATTTAATGTTCATCCACAGGGCTGATAAGACATGTATGTGGCTATCTGCATACACTATCTGTCATAATAACTGCAGAAACAAATGAATGCAAATAGATCTGAAAATATAGGCTTTGCACACAAAAATGTTGTTGGAAGTTTCCTTTCTGAGGTGACTCCCTTTGTAGCATCAGAGATCATTTCATGATCAAATGGAAGGGTTTCCACCTCAGAACCTTAACTCAACTAATCATTTACTGACCATTGTTATTACTATTATAAATTGTAGATTTATAAAATATAAAGAGAAAAAATGGTCCAATTCTGTTCTCTTCAATGAGTGTGATTCCTCTGGCAGTGAAGAAGGATTACACTCATGTATGTAAAAACAAACGGGCCTCAAAGTTTTGGTAGCAGGACCTCACTAATTGGCACTGGTAATGGTCTTACTGAAGTCTGCCAGTTAGCAAGAGGAGAAACCCAAGAAATTGATCAAGGTAACTTCAATACAAAAAGACTTCACTTATTTTGTCAGTTTGATTGACTGATTGATTATGAATGGAGACTGGCTCAGGCTAATAGAGAATATCAATAAATGTGTATTTTGTAGTAATGCAGAATTTTAAGAAATGTAAGATTTTGCTATAGCCCTCTACTGCATATATATCTGAAGCCAGCCACATATATCAAAAAGCTAGCCACTTATTGAGAAGTGGGTAGAGACAGCTAGTTTTCTAACCTGCCTGTCTGTTTAAAGTGTCTGTGATCTAGATGTATTTATAATCCATAACACTGATTTATCAGTGCTTCATGGCAGCATTAGGAATTTATAATTGTAATAAGCAGTGAGAGAGCACAAATAGAAAAAATCTTAAACTACTGCTCAAGAAATCAGAGAAATTAAAGGAAATATTGCTAAGCAGAAATGATCTTCAAAGAAAGGGGTAGTAAGGTTTTAGACAATGAACTTGAGGTTATTTTAGTTGTAGTTTCTTAAGACAGAAGGCTGTCTAGTAAGTGTGACCTCATATTCATTTAGAGAGTCAGTTAGAGTTGGTTCTTTATTGTCTCACTGAAACAATGGTAAATGAAGAGACTTAAGAACATCTTGGAGTTATTCTTCTTACATCAGTCCTGTGAAGTTTGATGTAAGATTTTGTGGTGTTGAGTCCATCTGGGGGTATGGATAATTTTTCATATGATGTATTGTGACTTAAGTAGTTTAGTTATATTTGCATATGCATATAGCCAGTGAAGCTTTTTGGTTTCATCAATGACAGCTAAAACTTTATTCTTCTAAACCTAAAGAGTTCCCTCATGGACCAAGGCCATTAGGTTGTCCAGATGTTTAGACACTGTTGTCATTTACAACTGAACACCAAAACTGAGATAAAAAAGCATAAAAGATAACCTACTTATTTGAAAGACCTCTTGGAACAGTTTGGCAGATGTCATACTGTCTGTCTTACTCTTGTTCAGTGTTGTGCAGCTGCACATTAAATAAGATCCTATTTTTTTTCCTTGAAAGTGTTGCTTCTATTAAATGGAAAATTTAGATCAAGTTAAATTTAGCAACTTTCCCATGAGTGAAAGCTGATCAAAGTAAAACATGGGACAGTCTTCCACTTTAAGTAAGTCAGATGATGCCTGGCAGGCTAAACAACTTTCATAGAGAAAGAAGTATTCTTTCTACTAATACGGAGGCGCTTATACAGAAGATTGCAGGAGAACACACCAAGGTGTAGGAGAGAGATTATAAAATATTTAGCTAAAAATACCATTTAAATGACATCAGAATTATTGCATACTTAAATGCCAGGAAATTCACAGTTAAGATTGGCATATTATTTCATTTAAAGTTTTGTTTGGTGGGAGTTTTCTGTGACTAAAGTATGCTAGGTCAGCTTGTTTGAGAACAATAATGTGTGAGGTTCAACTTTACACGTCCAGGCTTTGACCAGGATGCATCTTTTAACAATGTTTTTACAATTGCAAACCTTTTCCAAGCATATAACAAAAATCAACTTTTTGTACTAACAACAGTCATTGGAGGTGTGCCAAGTTATAGAAAACTAAGGACCAAGTCTTCAGCTGGTTTAAATTAGCATAGCTCTATTGATTTGGATTAAGAGATGCTGATCTCCCCCAGCTAAGAAACTGACTCTAGATTGTTTAGCTGTTTATATTTTTTAAGCATTAGTGAGAAGCAAAAGGAATGTACATGTTAAAAATCAAAGAGATATTTCATGGGCCATATTCATAGCTGATTTGCACCTTTGGCAAATATTTTAACTTCCCTAAATAATTTCCCTTTTCATCCTCTGCAATCCAGACTGAGACCGCACTGTAAGTAACACCCAGTCCTACAATGGACTAGGTGTAAACTAAATGTCTTTGAAAAGAAAAGAACTTTTCATGGTAAGCATAATATGCATACTATTTTTTTTGCAGGAGGTGAGTCAGGTATGCATTTAAGATGTTCATTGTTTTACAGTATTGTAAGTCACTGTTGTATTTTCTAAAACATTAATTCCATTTATGTCATGATCCTTAAAATAGCCAGGCACATGCTTAAGTGTTTGTAGGTTTGGGGCTTTAGTCACCAATCTGAATATATGTTTATACACTTTTTCTAAATATGTCATACTGTCGCAGAGCACTTTGGAGCTCTGCTCCTATAAAGAGGGGAGGTGTGTAGCAGGACACTGAGGCAACCTGCTACTTGAGGAGTAATAATGAAGAGGCACAGATGCAGGTTGCTACGGCAACCGGTGGGAGTCAGCTGACCGGAAGGGGCAGGGCTTGGCTCTTATATAACTCCCAGGCTGAGGCCAGACAGGCAGTCCCTGCTGGCAGCCAGAGTGGCAGGAACTCTGCCGGAGCAAGAACAGAGAAGAGGCCAGCATGCGTGAGCAGTTGTTATGGGTGAATGATGAAGCACCCTTGGGGGTGGCTTGAATAATGTTGTAGCCAATTGGCAAGGTTTATGTTATAGCCTAGGGGCTTTTGTGTTGACTGTTCATGATCGATGGTTTGGGTGAGGCTATTAGAGGTTGGAGGAGGCCTCATAGGGGGTCCATGGCTGCGTGGGGACCTGGACACCAGAGAGGGTGCAGTATTGGGGTAAGCTGACCCCGAACGTGGTGACAGAGACAAGGGCGGCGGAAAGCCTGAGTGCCTGTGGGGCGCGGTGAGAAAGACAAGGGCTGCGGCTAAGACCAAACAATGTCCGGTATATCAGTGAGGCTTGGGGCATGGTAAAGGGGTGGTTGGAACCATGCATAGCCCATAAAGCTAGGGTGCCCGGGAACACCCATTAGCAGAGCTGGGCTAATGTAGTAGGAGGTAAACCATGTCTAGGGAGATGAAGAGGCAGCCTCCCTATCATATACATTTAAGATCAAAGACGTGGCGGGCAAGAATGAAGGGTGTTTTGTAGGCAAACTGGACATGGTAAAGGGGCGCTAGGGGAGAGCACGGCACCCCTAGGCTGCCTCGCCTGCTACACATACATAATTATTTGTGAAAGGAATTATAGAAGACAGGCCATGTGCCCCAGTAGTACTCCTGTTGAAGTCAACAGCAAATGTCTCATTGACTTCAATGACAACTAGACTGGAACTACCATTTTTTCTTAAATTCAGTCCTAGGGCTCATTCTACCATTCCTCACGTAGTCAAAGTGATTTTGGCATTGGCCCCACAGAGAGAATGCTGATATTTTCAGCATTTCTTATTCTCTTTTCCCCTTACCCTTTGATTCCCCATTAAACTACCAGATTGTATTCATGGTTTGAATGAGCATGTTTATACTACACAAGAAGAAATCCATGTTGTTTGGGTTTCTCTTCATTAGTTATTTGTTAATTTAGATCTGTTTTAAGGCAGATTAGATAAAAAAATGGTGAGTAGTGAGTGGCTTTGGTGTTCCCACCTCAGTTCAAGCCCCGTGTTTTCCCCTCCCTACTTCTCAACCAGCAAATCTAGATAGGTAACTGTGTATATTGGCCTGCAATACAGTATAAGCCATTAAAAGGTCAGAATAGATGATCTAACACTGGTCTTTTCTGCCCTTAGAGTCTATTAATCTAGCATTGACCACCTGCTTTACTGTCTTCTCTAAAGTCCTCATGTCTCTATCTCATGTCAGTTAGGGACCTAATTCTCCTCTCTAATATATCAATGACACTTAACTGATTTCCATAGGGTTACTTTTTATTTAAGCCAGGCTTCAGGTCATTTTTCTCCTTTGCCTTCTAATTTTCTCCTTCCACTTATCTCTGTAATTGTATTAATTAATGTTAAAGATAATTTTTTAACTGATACTAATAGTACAGTAAGTATTCCACCAGGCTTCAGGAGCTGGATCAGAATCTAATTTGTATTGCAATCTGACAGGAAAACAGATATCTAGTGTGGGGGGATAAGATACAGCATTACAGAGCACCTCTGTTTTAAACCTTCATGTATTTTCTTCCTTTACTACAGCGTATACATTTTTAAACAACCCAAAATATCTCAAAGGTCTTTACCCTCAATCCTAGGTGTTTACCTTCCTGGTAATCCACTTGGAGGAGAAAGATAGAGCAGAATCTAGACAAGAAGCTAGTTTCCAAGAAAGGAGAGCAGAGAAACATTTCTCTTCAGAATCTTTCACTTGACAGATCTGGACGATGACTGGG